GTCCTGGCTTAAATGACAGAGGGAGGACGCCAAGTAGCACAATGGCGATAGCTGTGTCGAAAGTTGGTGCGACCTAAAAATAGGTTGTGATCTATGCAAAGCTGCAGAAAACGATCCCTTTCAACTGACCTGTGGTCAACTGGTCCCCTTTGTTCACTTAAACGACTCTGCTATGAGTCTAGATGCCTGACCTGCTCATTCAAGCCCCCAGCTAGCACCACGATATCTGTTGAGTGCACCTGGTCAAGAAAGTCACACACTTGACGATAGAATTCATCTTTGATTTCATCCGGGCTCCAATCTGTCGAAGCGTGGGTAGAGATGACAAAAAGACATCGTTTCTCTTGCTGGTTACTTCTTACTCATGACAAACATTTTAGCCTAACATCACACACATGACTGTTGGTGGAGGAGATCCAGTCGAGTAGTGCAGCTTCAGCACGAGCGCTTAGTGTGACTGACACCGATACCAGCGAGGCTGTTCACCGATGCCACAGGGTCCTGAATAATGCACATAAAACATATTTTCCCAGCTGATAGATGGGGAATTAATTCGAAGCACTTCACTGGGATTTTGCATTCGGTGTATGTGGGGTGGGGGGGGGCAACTGTTTAACGACTCAAAACGGTACAGACTGACCAGAAGTCCAAGCAGTGGAGAGCATCTGAGTGAAGTGAAGATAAAGACAAAAGCGAAAACGGTAATAAAAAAAAACAGTTTATATGTAAAAACAATATAATAGGAATAAACTGAGTAATCGGCTAAAAGTTCTCAGTTCGGAAGGCTTTAGTATTCTCAGGAACGTTGATTAATAACTTAGAAATCTTGTTTTTATATTGTAAATTCATAGTTCATATCTTATGTGATGGCTGGGATACTTCTGGGGTGTCCAGACCGAAGCAAATGGTTGTTTTAGGAGACCACTCCGTGAGCCTTTGACTTAAAGTCCAATCCACAAGCGAGTGGAATAACATCATCAACTGCATTCCCATGATTGCTGGTGACCAAAATTGGTGCAAACACAGTTCTATCTGGAACCTGGAGCTGGTGTGCACCATTGGTTTGATATCAGGACTTTCCAACTCCCCTACTGGACCCTCAGTATCCACTAGTCAGGTGATAAGCGCTGGACATTTGTTTTCACCCTTTCCCTTCTGTGGTAAACACTCCTACCACGTGAAGGCAGTGAAGAGGATTTCTCCGGATACCCACAAGTAAACCATAACATGATTCTCTCTGTTTCAGATACTTCGCATCACAGATGTTGTCGAACTCTGCCTTCGTTAATTACAAGTCGAAGGGTCATTGACATTATCATCCTTGACACATGAATTTTGAGGTTTCGGAGAGATTGAATTCCTGTCTACTACTGAGTGAGGCAGGAGTACAGAAACTTCTTAATTCCTAATCATTTTTGAATATATGTGTCGATTCTGTGAACAATACCAGTTTGAAATCAATTAGACCCCACAAACTTCCAGGTTTATTACGGCCTAGTAAGCATTAGTGACGACTGGCTTGTTTGGAGAAGAGGTTTCCCGAAATTCCAATGATAAGCAAAACCAAGTTGAGCGTGAGGATACATACTCAACGATGACATTGAATGATGTTGAGCATTAAGGTTCTGAGCCAATAGTTCAATGGTAATTTACTCGCCACGATACCTGAGGGTCCTGAGTTCGACCCTGATGGAATCGTGAACAGACTCTACTGAGGAGTCCCATATTAGGACTAAATAGACGTCCAGTGTTCCCAGGTGTTCAAGGCTTCTGCCACCGGTGTCAGTTAATGATGAGTACCACTTTGGAATAAGCAAGTTCCTACAAACCTTCAAACTGAATATCTCAGTTCTCCAAAGAAATCCTTTACTCACTAATCAATTTTGAATGAATATAAATCTTGATACTACTCAACAAAACAGTAAGGAATGACATAATTGTTGTCCATTGATTTCAAAACCGCCTACATTATGAAAAGAACTCACATATAACTAGAGCAAATGTTTACTGTTAAGATATCAGACAAACTTATCATCTACACATACACACATAGACACAAGTGCTCAGGTCTTTGTAAGATGGCATATAATTTTGATGACTAGTCACCTAAACAGCTAAACAATGTAGTTATGATTTAGTTTGTTGTGGCTAGCAGGAGAATCCAGGGAGCGCGTTTCGTCCTATTTGGGACTCGTCAGCTGGACGTACCTGTACCCCAGTTATGTTGTTCCCACTGAAACTCGAATCTCGTACCCATCGCCTCAAACGCCAAGGCGTTATCCACTATGGCATGGAGGAACGATAGTCACTTCTTGTACAACGGGTAACAGTTATTACTATTTATTGACTTACTTGTTATTCTCCATTGTTTTGTTGGATCGAATTTCTCGACCTGTATTGGCATATGAGCTTCTGTGCGGATGCCTCGATATTGCCTGAATGTTAATTATGATTGTGGTTGTGATTTATCTTCCAGCGAACTCAGTCTTTTCTTTGTGAGTACAGTTGACTTAAATCAATCTTGATAACTTTTGAATAGAGGGGGGAAAGAGAGAGACATTGACGGACGGGATAGATAGACTAAGACAGACTAACAGAGTGCATCGGTCCAACTTTTCATACTTCACAACGAACAAACGGATTAAAAAAGAGTGTTATAAAAGTAGACAAAGTTGTGTGTGAGAGAACACACAGTTTGAAGATAATGGTATGCGGTTAAAAATTTCACCACACACACCCCCATCAGCCCTCACACAAAACTACCCAGATACACGAATTTTACGATTTATTCCAACGGCTCCCCATCATTATGTATTCGTAATGGAACCCCAGCTATAGATAAATCTTGACTTAATGTATTTGTAGTAATTATGAAATTAATGTTTCAAGTAATAAATTTGTAGCTGGTGAATGGTATGTTGTTCACCTTAATTATTATCATGATCTTGATGTTGGTTGTTTAGGAACCTAAAGTTTTTTTTATAATTATCAAATAGTAGAATGTTATACAGCTATCTAAAGTATTCACAAAACGTTCTACATTTGTTGTAGACATTGAATATTGAATTTTACAGTTCACGGTAATTTGTATGTGAATATGTACGTGTATGTGAAATGTACCAGTAGTAAAACGATGAGTTCGCGGTGATTGGTTAATTTCAAGATGGTTATCATTACAGAATCAAACCATTCGATGAACGATTGGTAACCTAAGAGCATTGAGGAGCTGTTTCGTTGTAGTTTGAGACTGTTGAACAGCTTTCATCAACAACTTCATGAGGGACTGAGGCCGAGGCTGTCGGGTAACGTGACAAATGCGTTACTACTTCGAAATCCAGTAGACGAAACAGCTGTCTTCTGGTCATAGCTTCGCAAACCGATGTGAATCTATGAGACCAGTGAATCTGCACAGATCCCTCCGTTTGTATCTCATTTCACTGCTCACAGGTGACTAGCTTCGAAATTGATTTTCCAATAAGAAGTTGTGAAGTCTGAAGTCAACCAAATTGAAAGTAAATTTAGTTGCTCATCTATGCCATTGGACGATGGTTGTGGTATACCATACATTGACATGATTCCAACCGAGTGACTGAATGCTAAGGTGGTCATCGTGAAATCTGCCTGTCTTGGGATTCATCTCTCGTAGGATTTATTAGTATGCACTACTAAGAAGTCCTAAAATGGGACAAAACAGTTGTCAGATTGTTATGATGCGGAGTTGTGAGAAAGAACGAAATAGTTAACGATTGGTAGTCGAGGATTGAAACGATTCAACCTGAGTGGTTCGCAAAGAGGAGTGAAAAGACTGGAAATCAGATGAGATTTTAGTATCTCAAATTGAAAACGTTTATGAGTAAAACCGGACCCTATTTATAGAGTTTACAGTAACCTTGAAAGACAAGAAATAATCAGTGTATTTAAACAGGCAGGATCCAATCAGAACAATAGTAGCGGGTCATACGAAATATAACCTATGGGCGGGAAATGTGCGTGAATAAACCAGTTCAAGTATATACAAACCGTAAGTATGGAATATAAGGGATATAGGCATCCCTAACACCGATCCTCCAAGGTTTTCGGGGGAAGAATGAAAAGATGAGATTAAGTATAGCGGTTAGTGTAAGGGTAATGTGTGTACGCATCTGCGTTACCGACATCGGTTCTCAGCCATACCATATAACGTCTCTAACCACTAGTTTTCCTTGTCCCGCCGACACCACCTAGTCTGCATCGCCCCCATATGGTTCAAACCAATAGTTAAGGATTCCATGCATTGATGCCATGTTTTGGTCTGGCCTCCCCTAGGCTTTATCCTGCCTGGACCTACTTCGACCAACTGTGTGTGACGAGGCAGATGGTGTCTAGGCATACGTGACACATGTTCCAGCCATCTCAATCGATGACGGTTCTCAACTGTCTTACCTCTCTTGCCTAAAACTCAACACCTGACTTCTGCGTTACTCACGTGATGACACCACGGGATACGGCCTATACTACGATGTTTCACAGCCATATAGTAGAACAGAGTGGACTGCAGCAAAGTACACTCAATCCTTAATAGACGATTGAATATCTTGGCGGTGCCACACATAGCGTAAGTTGACAAAAGCCAACCAAGCCCTTTGTATTCTAGCGGAGATTTCGTTGGCTACTGACCAACTCATCAGGGCTGATCCGACTACCTAGGCAAGTGAAGTGTTTAACGCATTCAACCACCTCACTATTTGTTGTTAGGGTTAGGCTACTACTGTTGAAGACCAATCCTGGAGAAACATTCCAAAAAACTGTACATCTTGTCAACATGTTTCACTTAACAGGACTATATCATCTGTGTATTCTAGGTGTCTATTAAAAGTTTTTCTGTGATTAGGTTAATCCCCTTGTATAGCTAGCTAGATATCAAGAAAGAGACCTTTAATTTTCGATTTATCAAACGTATTAACAAAAACATCACCGTATTTATTTGTTTATTATTGCTTATATATTTATCCAATTGACAGAATTATGGTTTAGAATATGAGTTATCGGATGTTGAAGGTGTTCAATTATGTGCTCTTATCTCAGCTATTGAACGTCGTTTATCTCCTGCTGTAAATTGGTTCTTATGGTCTGATGACTCTGTGTATACTAAATTCACAAGAAGAATATATTTTGAAACAATTGGATTTATGCATCAATTTTATATTCCATATATTTGGCGTAATGAAAGAATAAGGATTGCAAAATCGTCTCAGTTAGTTATATGCTTGAAGTCTATGTCTGAATCACAAATTGGAGAGTATGTAAGTTGTTCATCGTTTATTTCCTACTCTAGTCTAGTCTATTTCTTTTAATTACATTCCACTAGCTATTTCATGAGTACTACTACTACTACTCAGTATACACAATCCACTTCTTTATTATCGTTGTGTTATTCACTGGTAAACTCATAAATATCAGTGAACACATTAAGTGTTATCCGGACTATGCTTGTCATATCGTGGATTAGCTGAATTCTCCAGACAAATTGAAATAATGGAAAATATTTGTAGCTCATATGGATGGTTTTGGTTGTATTGTGCTCTCTCAGCTACCTACGTTGTTTAATCGTGAAGATGCTTTCATCGTCCTTCTAGACGACATCATCACTAACTTCAGTATAAAGTGAGCTGTCAATATCTCTCCGTCAGTGATTTAGTGGCTTGCTATGACGATGTGGGTGCGGATCAAATTGCAACGCTTCGCATAATTATAGAATAGAGTATAGAATGGCTGTCAACCCTCTGCATCAACTTCATTGACTTTGAAAAGGCCTTTGACAGTGTTGACCGAGAAGTAATTTGGCATTTGCTTCAACACTATGGAGTACCACAAATCTTTATCAACCTCATTCAACAACTATATGAAGACGCCACATGCTAAGTAATTCACGATGGGAAGCTCAGTAATGCCTTTGAAGTGAAGACTGACAGGAGTGAAACAAGGCTGTCTACTATCCCCATGATATTCCTGATTGTAGTGGACTGGATCATGCAACAGACAACTGTGATGAGCGAGAAGAGAGGGATACGCTGTTTGAGCGGGGAAAAGAACCTATGAGACTTGGATTTCGCGAATGATGACTTGTGTGTGATGTCACACGAACTTGAAGATCTTAGGCGAAAACTAAGAAGTTGACAGAAGAGGTGAGGCTGCGAAGGAAGACGGGACTTGAAGTGAATATAGAGAAGACAGGTGATGAAGATACTCAACCAACGCCACCACCACCACCAACAATAACAACAAGCTGCAATCACCATCAACGGGAGAAACTTAAAGGAAATAGCCTGTTTCACCTACCTTCCTACCTACCTACCTAGGTAGGCAGCATCGTTTCAACTACAGGTGGCGGCACAGACGACGACGTCAAAGCCAGCCAGGATCGGAAAGGCAAGACAGGCGTTGACTAACCTGAAACCAGTGTGGAGATCTACTGCACTGCACTCAGCATAAAGCGTGAACAAGATCCGGATTTTCAACACGAATGTCAGTCAAGTCAAGCCAACGAAGCAAGAACCTATCACTGAAGAAATATGCAGTGGAAAGAGGTGGAGATGGATTGAGCATGCACTGAGAAGACCGATTGGGGACATGACACGCCAGGCCAGTTGCTCGAGTGTAACCCAGATGGGAGTGACGAGTTGGGCGTTTGAGGCGAGGGTGATATGGAGGAGATGGTGTGAGGAAGAAATGAGAGGTTGTGGGCAATGGTGGAGCCAGGTTGAAATGGTTGCAGAGAAGAGAGTTCACTGGAGACGTGCTACTGAAGCCCTATGTTCCATTAGGAACCCAAGGGACAAATAATAAAATAATAATAATGACGATGTGGTCTATGATTGGTTGTTTCCTTCGATTGTTGTATCATTCACTGTACACACTTTCCTGTTGGCTATTCCTCTGCTTGACCTCTCACCTTTCTGTCGTTTATCATTTTTCTCATTGGTTGATAGATTGGGTCTATGTCTATACATCTGTTGATTGCTGACTGACCTGAATGTCAAGCTTCTAGAAATTCTCTGATATTCTCTGTGTTTCATCTCTCCGTTCAAAATTTCTACATTGTCGAAATTGAATTCATGTCAATAGTTGTTATCCATATGCATTGAAATGAGTGATGAAATGTCGTGGCGTTTAATAGCCAATTGATGCTCATGTAGACGAAGGCGAAGAGGGCGGCCGCTTTGTCCAATGTAGTGTTGACTACAGTTAGCTGTTACAGTTGATTTTGTAGATGACATTCGGTTTGTCTTCTTTGTTTGTTTCATCCTTTGGTCTGCATAAAAGTGTTTGAAGGGAATTTGTTGGTTTATGAGGCGCCACATCGATTCCAAGTGGTCTCAGTAATCTTGTTGTGATTTCTGATATATTCTTTATGTATGGTAGGATGATGCGTTTGTTGATTTGTATCGATGACTTTGTAGTTGGTGATGTACGGGATAGGCATATTGTGATAAAGTTCCGTGGGTAGTCGTTCTTCTTAAGGGTGGACATCAAGTAATTTTCTTCTTTTCTCCTTGAAGTTGTTGTAATACAGTGTGTTCTCCCTCTCTTGAATAGAGTCTGCACGTAAATGATCTTGTGTATTGTTGCTACTGTAGTTGAGGATTTGGTCAGTGTGTATTGGCTTCCTGTACACTTGGGTTTACGGCATTCGTCCTACCGACTAGTCAGTAGGTAGCGTGGCCATCACGTCACCATTAAGCTACTGGGGTCATGGATGCGCACTTCTGAAAAGTCTCAGGTTTCCAATGTTCCTCCAAACTCATATCAATCGATGACAAATTGTTTTGTCAAATAATATTCAGAGTGGTGCTCTGTGTTTATGTGTGTCGAAATCCTAATGCATTTAGCAACTTTGTGCACACCCATACAATAAGAAAGCGAACCATACACTTATTATGTGAAGGTTATTGGTAATACCACCGGACTGTTCAAATCTCGGCAAACGGAACGGGGCTCGAACCCGTGACCCATTGGTTGAAAGTCATCTCGTTAAACCAAATGATCCACAGCTCCACTTGTATATAACTGTTTCAAAGTATCCTATCATTGAACTGCCTACTTTTACCTTATAATTAACTGATTTACAGAGTTCGTGTTGGTAACTTCTTTGTATTTCAGCAGACTGTATCGCTGAACATTTCAGTGGCAATCTCACGGTTTTTCCAAGCTGGTACTCATCATCAACTGACATCAGTTGGAGGAATATTGGAATTCTGGGACTACTGGATAGCTGTTTCGTCCTAGTATGGGAGCCTTCAGCAGTCCTCACCCACGACCCCTCCGTGGGTCGAAGCCGGGGCCTTCAGGTTCCGTGACCAGTACGTTACCATTGAGCCACTTAGTCGGGATGCAGTGGTCCACATTCCCAACTTCTGTCAGTTCGCGATATAGCGCGACCATTACCCAATGTCATCGTTGAGTATATGTCCTTACGTTCACCACTAGATCTCTGGCAGGGTCATGGGTGCGCACTGCTGAGGTCTCCTATACTAGGATGAAACAGCTGTCCAGTCCTCCCAGGTTTCCAATGTTCCTCCAAACTGATGTCAGTCGATGATGAATATCAACTTGGAAAAATCACTAGGTCCCCACCTTCCCGCAAATAAGAAAAATTTTTCATGAATAATCAACTTACAACTAGCGGGTTATACGTTTGCACAGGTGGGCAGTATTATTAGCCTTTATATCGTAGGTATCTAACTGCCAACTTCAAGAATCTGCACATGATTCATCAGTTATGTTTTGTTGTTCGTATATTTCGATAGATAGACATTCGTTGGATTTACTCCGGTATTAATTTTCCTGGCGGTGGTGGCTAGCAGAACGACCCATAATGCATGTTCTGTACTATTTAAAATTCGTCAGCCGGATATACCTTCGCCCCCAGTCAGTGGCGAGCCAACCCAACACCCATCACTTCAAACGCTGAAGCTTTACCCTTATTGTTATTATTTTATTATAATTGTTATTTATCTTTTGGGTTCCTAGTGCAATAGTAGGGCTTCAGTAGCACATCTCCATTCTAATCCGTTCCCTACAATCTTTTCAACCTGGCTCCACCACTCCCCCCCCATAACCTTTCATTTCTTCCTCACACCACCTCTCCCATGTCACCCTCAGCTGGGACACCCAACTCATCCTTTCCCATTTGCGTTCCACTCGACAACCTGGCCTGCCTGACACGTGATATCCCTAAATGGTCTTCTTAGCATGCGTCCAACACAATCCATATCCACTTTATTCTAATGCATATTTGTTGGGCCATAGATTATTGCTTGGTCAAATACCAGCTGGCCACAGTGAGTTCCTTGTTGCTTATTCTTATTATTCTGACCATCTCATCTTCAGTGTCAGTATCGAGTGAGCGTGGTCGGCAGCTGTTGATGTGGTTGGTGTATGTCTGCACTTTGTTGAGAATGATTTCCGTAACGCGCCGCCAAGTCTCTCAACCATCACATAGAAGCACTGACTTACTTGACTGACATTGGTGTTGAAAATCCAGTTGTTGTTCAGGCTTTATGTTGAGTGTAGTGTAGTGTAGTGCAGTGCAGAGCAGTAGATCTCCACACTGATTATTTCAGATTAATGCAGGAAGGCGTGTCTTGCTGTCTTTCTGATCCCGGCTTTGACGTCCTCATCTGTGCCTGTCCCGCCTGTAGCTAAAACGATGCTGCCTACCTAGGTAGGTGAAAAAGACAACTACCTTTAGATTTCTCCCGTTCATGGTGATTGGTGCTTGTTGTTGCTGTTGCTTGGCTATCTTCATCACCTTCGTCTCTTCTACGTTCACCTGAAGGAAGTCGTGTCTTCCTTCGCTGTCTCACCTCTCCTCCTCTGTCAACTTGTTGCTTTTCGCCTTTACATCATTGAGTTTGTGCGGCAAGATATTAGACATAAATCATCATCATCAGTGAAATGGAAATCTTCTTCTGGAGTCTTTTCATCGTTTGAGACAGCGTATGCCCATCTTCTCGGTGCTCACAGTTGTCTGTTGCATGATCCAGTCCATTCAAGTCGACCACAATCAGGAAGATCATCAGTGATACATAGTAGGCAGCCTTATCTTAGTCCTGTCTTCACTTCATTTCAAAGGCATCACTTAGCTTTCCATTGTGAATCATTTAGTATGTAGCATCTCATAGTACATAGATATTGAATGAGGTTGATAAAGGTTTGTGGCACTAACAGCTTAGTGTTGAAGCAGTTGCCAAATTACTTGTCGGTCGATGTTATCGAATGCCTTTTCAAAATCGATGAAGTTGAAGTAGCGATCTAGTTGACTGCCATTTTATGCTCTGTTCTTTGATGATGCGTAGCGTCGCATCGCAATTTGATGCGCACATGATTTAAAGCTTTACCGATAGGCTACTGAATTATCAGGTCCATTGCTTGTGCAGCGAGTAGGAATTGTAATTTCATGGTGATTATTATTATTATCATTATTATGATTTAGCGAAGTAATCAATCTCTCTTAGTATATAATGAATGAAGCAGATAACTTTATCAGAAATAAATTGCTCGAATTTTCATCTACTTTTTTTTACTGTAGTTATATGCATTGGCCAAACTCTGTATTACATCACTTTCATACATTTTGGGTGAAAACACCTATTTCGTGGGGAATCGGTAAGTTGACTACTCCCAAGTACTCTGTACCAGTTTGTTTTACTTAAATACAGTTGTAAATTTTCAGGACAGCTGGGGGGATGACCTGAACACCTGACCACATGCCTCGACACATATTGGTTAAGCAGAGTAAGACTTAGTCAATAAAGAACTAAGGGGTAATCAGACCATAAAGTGTGTTTAACTATTGATGTGTGTGTGTGTGTTATATGGGGAAGGTATAGGCTATCTGGCTATGGTCAGTAGTGAGAGACGTTTGATGATTTGGCTGAAAATTAACCACAATAATGATTGGTAGGCTAATGAATGCTACCTTTGTAGGTGAACCAGAGTTGAAACCCATGGGATCATTCGTTGAAGGTCAACTGTTGAGACCAATAAGCCACAGCTCTATAAAACCTGCTTACTTGGATTATGACATAGTCCTGTTAGGTGGAAGACGCTGACAAGATGCAGAGTCTTCTGAACACTTTGAGTGGGAATTTGACAATGTTTGGGATGCGGTTTTCACCAGCCAAATGTAAATTTTTGCTCCAGGACTGGTCTTCAGCGGTACCGCGGCTAACAATAGAGAGTGAAGTGGTTGAGTGTGTTGACCACTTCACTTACTTGGAAGTAGGATCAACCCTGGTGGGTTAGTTGCCGATGAGATTTCTGCACGGATACAAAAGGCTCGATTGGCTTTTGCCAATTTGCGCCACCTATGGCCGCGCCATGATATTCGTTTGTGTATTAAGGGTCGCGTGTACTACACAGCAGTCCTCTCTGTTCTGCTGTATGGCTGTGAAACATGGCCATTGAAAGTGGAGGATATAAAAAGGCTTCAGGTGTTTGACCACCGTTGCCTTCTTAGTATAGGACGTATTCCGTGGTGTCACCATGTGAGTAATGCAGAAGTTAGGTGTAGAGTTTTAGGGAGAAGAGGTAAGTCAGTTGACGAGGTTGTGAACCTTCATCGACTGAGATGGTTGGCTCCGACACGTACTACATATATCCAGTCACCGATTGCCTCATCACACAATGTTGGCTGAGGTAGGTGCAGGCTGGAAAAAGGCCCGAGGTGGCCAGACTAAAACATGGCACCAATGTATGAAGTCTCTGACTGTTGGTTTAAGCCACGTAGGGAGATGCAGACTAAGTGGTTGGGATCGGTGGGGGAAGAGGAACCAGTGGTTAGGGACCGTAGGTGATATGGCTCAGAACCGAAGTCAGTGGCACAGATGTATACACACGTTATCCTCATCTTAACAGCGCTATACCGAATCTCATCATTTTCTCATTCTTCCTTTCTTTCTTCTCATACTTTATATTTCTTTTGACTGAATTCACTTATCTTCATCCTTCACCTCACTACCTTTCTACTTGATGTGCTGATATGAGGTGTGGTAACTCGGACCGTTCCGCAGTAATGCCTGGTCCTATGTTGATAATGATGATTACTTGGATTCCTGTACAACATTCTTCATTTTCATGTACTATTTAGTATTTTTTTTTAATTATTTCACTGAATCGTAGTCTTGTGTGTGTGTGTTAGAGTTTAAATAATCCGTTTACTTGAAGATGAATCAGTCAACCAGCCAGCCAGCCAGCCAGCATCATCAATGTGGGACATGGCTTTACTGTGTGTAACCGTCCAACCTGTCATCTTACATCAGCATACTAGATAGGAAGGCACCAATGTTAAAGATAAGGAAATAGGAAATGAAGTAATGAAAAAGGCTGGGGAAAGGGGAGGAGACGAAAAAATAATGAAATGCGACATGTAGCTGCTTTTAGATCGTTATAATCCATCCCAAGTCTTCAACCATCAGTTTCACTTATCCAGTGTTCTTCAACTTGCAAGTTCACATTTGTTTACACTGCTTAACTTAAGAGTTAAAAGTGATCATAGATACTAGTTGTATGTTTTTTTTTTTAGTCTGATCATCGTAAACTTTTCTCCAACCTGAATCTACTGTATAGGGTTACGGCTACACATGTATAACTTCAAGACCAGGATATACAGTTTAAACACTTCAGATATGCTATGGATTATTCCAAACAATTTGATCATACCAGTTAAATTTTATTTTCTAGGCTGCTTGTAGAATAAGAAAACTCATTTGTAATGTCATCATTTTGAAGAAAACACGTTTTGATTGGTGCTATAATATGCTGACATGTAGAGAAACACGTTAGAATTCTTATACATATCTACAGAATTTCGAAGGAATTATACTATTTTAAGTTGTTACTTCGTTCGTTAGTATATATGAAGTCTACTTAAACATTACTTGATTTCATAGTTTTTCTGAATTCAATGAATGTAAGTTAGTAGCGTGCGCTATGCGTAGATTAAACAATGAGCTACCTCTATACGGTTCAATTATAGAATTTTGTCGTCCATCACTGAATCGTAAATAAATTTAAAGGGAACAATCATGTTGTCAAGGCTGGTGTGGATTCGTTCTAGGGTAGCTTTAAATCCTATAATTATTATTACTATTTATTACTTTTCCCGGCTGGATTCAGAAAGTACAAATCATGTGCGGACCAAAATGCAACGCTTCGCATCACCATAGAACAGAGTATAGAATGGCAGTTAACCCTCTACCTCAACTTCATCGACTTTGAAAAGGCCTTCGATAGCGTCGACCGAGAAGTAATTTGGCATTTGCTTCAACACTATGGAGTACCACAAACCTTTATCAATCTCATAGAACAACTATATGAAGACGCCACATGCCAAGTGATTCACAATGGGAAGCTCAGTAATGCTTTTGAAGTGAAGACTGACAGGAGTGAAACAAGGCTGTCTACTATCCCCCATGATATTGCTGATGATGGTCGACTGGATCATGCAACAGACAACTGTGATGAGCGAGAAGAGAGGGATACGCTGTTTGAGCGGGGAAAAGAACCTATGAGACTTGGATTTCGCGAATGATGACTTGTGTGTGATGTCACACGAACTTGAAGATCTTAGGCGAAAACTAAGAAGTTGACAGAAGAGGTGAGGCTGCGAAGGAAGACGGGACTTGAAGTGAATATAGAGAAGACAGGTGATGAAGATACCCAACCAACGCCACCACCACCACCAACAATAACAACAAGCTGCAATCACCATCAACGGGAGAAACTTAAAGGAAGTAGCCTCCTTCCCTACCTAGGCAGCAGTGTCTCAACTACAGGTGGTGGCATAGACGACGACGTCAAAGCCATCCAGGATCGGAAGGGCAAGACAGGCGTTGACTAACCTGAAACCAGTGTGGAGATCTACTGCACTGCACTCAGCATAAAGCGTGAACAAGACCCGGATTTTCATCACCAACGTGAAGTCAGTGCTTGTATGTGAAGGTTGAGAGAGTTGGCGCGTTACGAAAGGGCTTTCCAACGAACTGCAGACATTGATCAAGAACTGCCTACACTCGTTACTGAAGATCAGATGACCAGAATAGTAAGAATAAGCAACGAAGAACTCGGTCGACGAACCTAATAAGAACCTATCACTGAAGAAATATGCAGTTGAAGGAAGTTGAGATGGATTAGGCATACACTGAGAAGACCATTCGGGGACATCACGCGCCAGGCTGAGCACTTGAGTGGAACCCATATGAGGAACGACGAGTTGGGCGTCTGAGGCAAGGGTGACATGGAGGAGATCGTGTGAGGAAGAAATGAGAGGTTGTGGGCAATGGTGGAGCCAGGTTGAAAAGATTGCAGAGAACAGAGTGCAGTGGAGACGTGCTACTGAAGCCCTATGTTCCACAAGGAACCTGAGGGACAAATAATAAAATAAAATAATTTTTCCCTTGAGTTCCTAGTGGAACATAGGGCTTCAGTAGTACGCCTCCATTGAACTCTCTACTCTGAAGTCTTTTCAACCTGACGCCACGACTGTTCACAAGTTTTCATTTCTTCCTCACATGATCTCCTCCATGTTACCCTTGCCTGGGACGCCCAACTCGTCGTTTCCCCTTTGGATTCCACTCGAGGAACTGGCCTGGCACGTGATGTCCCCAGTCGGTTTTCTCAGTGTATGCCCAATCCATCTCCACTTCCTTCCAGTGGATATTTGTTGAGCGACAGTTTCTTCGTTGGTTCGTTCCCAGAGTGAGTTCCTTGTTGCTTATTCTTATTATTCTGGTCATCTGATCTTCATCATCGAGCCAGCGTAGGTGGCAGCTATTGATGAAGTATGTCTGTAGTTTGTTAGAAGGGCTTTTGGTGACACACCAAGTTTCTGAACCATATAGCAGTACTGACTTGACATTGGTATGTAAAATCCGGATCTTAAATTCTATAATTACTCTTGTTTATTTGATATCGCCAGTACATAGTGTGATACAGTATTATTAATTTACTTCATATAGACCACATTTTAACCATAAATGATTATTGCTCATAATCATACCCGTGTATAATCACACACCACTTTCGACATCTGGGTTTTTATAGTCCTGTCACCTCTTATTCTTTGTTTGTTTACTGGTAGTTAAATTTTCCATATCTCTAGTATAGATTGTACATTATTTCGATTACGTGTTTAGGTGTCGGTTGATTCGATGAACAAGGATTCAGTAATCAACCTCACTCCCTCCATCTAATTTTATTGGAATTGAGTACAGTGGTTTCACCACCAACCCCACCCCATTGTTTGGTTATGTGTTAATGCATCCATTGCAACAGCTGAGTATTATTCTAGATTACTGATCTTATTCAGGTCTATCATTCTATCTATACCTAAATTCGTATGTTTCACCGTTCTAACTGACTGCGCCTGGCTACTGTGACCCTTGTATTTGATCTCGCAGTTGTTACATGGAATTTGATAGAGTAGATTATTTTACTTAATTGGTTCCATCGAAGCCTTAGACCAGCCGACAAAGCTTATGTCTGAATGAGTTTGTGTATTTGAATGCTACCCTAATTCCAGCCTTATTGACAATCCTACATAAAGTTTCTGATGTACTTTTTTTAAAGAGTAACACAATGGAGACTGTAAACTTCTTTCTACTTGTGTGTTCATACAAATTTCTTAACAAACTGTAAAGGATAATTATTAACTATTAGTCTTTCTTTTATGTACTTCAGTTCTTTGTTGTTTAGGTCTCTTCACTGACTAGTCAGTTTCCTAGCTCTGTGATTTCGACATTTGGCTAAACCTGCCCTAACTGACGGACATTGGATTGGATGACTTGGAGACTAGATACCTGTTAGAATGTGTTGGTTTTCTCTGGACGGCAGTATCCAAACCACCGTCTGATCCTTCACTTTACTCTATAATCCAACATGGTTAATTCTCCTTGTTCATTTTCTACCTTGTAATATGATGTAATCATATGTCAAAAGTGGAGTGTGAGATTACACATTGATATGATTATGAGCAATAATGATTTATGCATGCACTCGGTGAGCATCGAATGGTGTCCGTCAAACATACCCACTATCTCCATTCTTATTCAATTTCATCATGGATTTTCTTATGGACGTCTCCCTCTCGTCACCAGGCTACACAGGCGTTGACCTAATCACAGAAAACTTTCCCTTACGCCTAGAATATGCAGATGACATAGTCCTGTTAAGTGAAGACGCTGACAAGATGCAGAGTCTTCTGAACACTTTCAGTGGGAATTTGAGAATGTTTGGGATGCGATTTTCACCACCTAAATGCAAATTATTGCTCCAGGATTGGTCTTCAACCGTGCCCCACTGCGGCTAACAATAGAGAGTGTAGTGGTTGAGTGTGTCGACCACCTCACTTATCTGAGAAGTAGGATCAGCCCTGGTGGGTCAGTTGCCGATGAAATCTCTACACGGATACAAAAGGCTCGATTGGCTTTTGCCAATTTGCGCCACCTATGGCGCCACCGTGATATCCGTTTGTCTTGCATAGCAGTCCGATTTGTTCTACTGTATGGCTGTGAAACATGGCCATTAAAAGTAGAAGATATGAGAAGGCTGCCTTGAGGTGTTTGACCACCGTTGCCTTCTTAGTATAGGACGTATTCCATGGTGTCACCACGTGAGTAATGCAGAAGTTAGGTGTGGAGTTTTAGGGAGCAGAAGTAAATCAGTAGACGAGGTTATAAACTTTCATCGATTGAGATGGTTGGCTCCGACACGTACTACGTAAACCTAGTCACCAATTGCCTCATCACACAACGTTGGCTGAGGTAGGTGCAGGCTGGAAAAAGGCCCGAGGTGGCCAGACTAAAACATGGCACCAATGTATGAAGTCTCTGACTGTTGGTTTAAGCCATGTAGGGAGATGCAGACTAGGTGGTTGGGGTCTGTTCGCGGGACAAGGGGAACCAGTGGTTGGAGACTCTAGGTGATCACATGGCTGAGAAGCGATGTGAGTGGCACAGATGTATACACACATTATCCTCATCTTAACGACACTATACCGGTTCTCACCACTTGGTCATTCTTCCTTTCTTTCTTCTCGTACTTTATATTCCTCTCGGCTGAATTTTCTTATCTTCACCTTGCGCCTCACTACCTTTCTACTTGATGTGCTGATATGAGGTGTGGTAACTCGGACCGTTCCACAGTAATGCCTGGTCCTATGTTGATATTGATGATGCGAATTTCTATGTTGATAATGATAATAATTACAGTCGAATTGAAACAGATAATTCCTGATATGTTTATCGTGTATTGTTTGCTCATTCTGAAGAGGTTTTTCATATGCTTGTATATCATGAATTGGACGAAATGATAGACAGTTAAGGTTTAATATAGAGTTGACTTTCGTATGAAATTGCCCACTGTCAAATGTAATCAAGATCTTCATTTCAATTCTGTAAATTCCACCACACTTAATTTCAAATGAGTTTTCAGTATTTCATTTAAGTTGATATGTCATACAATGAAGGAATAGTATTGTTGACTGGATTACGTGTCGGACATAATTTATGTTCTCCGTAGTCACATATCAAGATAACTATACAACTTTGAGATATCCTTTATGTAGTCCTAATTTCCTCGTCTTTTTGTGAGATGGGTAGTAAAGTATTATATATATCCGAAACAGATGCTGTTGAGTCGTTCATGTTGTTGTATGTATTAGGTATTGGTTGATTCGATAAACAAACATTCATTTATCCAACCTTTCCCTTCACCGTGTTATATTATTTTTAAGGATTTTCACCCTGTCCCATCCTATTGTGTGGTTGTATGTAATCGTATGCATAGCTATGGCTGAGCTTTTTTCTAAATTCCTTACAGGATCCGACGAATTTGGGCTTAGCCTGGGTTTGGTGCTCGAATAGCCTAATTACCTAACCCTGATCGACTATTTCGACCCGTGTTAGTGATGTTACAATCATTGCATGGGATTTGGTAAACTAAGTTATTCTGCTCAAATGGATCGATAGGGTCTTTTAACCAACAAAGTTTATTTCGGAGTGAGTTTGTCAGCTTAAATGCCACTCTCATCCCAGTGGTAGCCTTATTAAGAATCCTAAGTAGTGTTTCTGAGGTGCCTTTCTTGTATTGTGTGGAGGTTTACAATTCTCTCTTTACAGTATTGTTACTACTATTATTAACTGTGTTACCGATATTGTTCTTACGATTCGTAAGAAGCTTATCAATTAATTTGGGAGGGTAATTGTTGATGAGTAGGGTGCCTTTAACGTATATATAGTTTCTTGTCTTAGATCTTCTGTTTCACCATAGCTATACATGGAATACACACAAAACCACACAGTAGAATGAAGCATAGTGAGAATCTTTCAAACTAGGTTAGTGGGATAAGTCTTTGTTCGCTACCCCGCCTCCCCCCCCCCCCAGGTCATCACAAAGGGAGCGAGGAAATAGTAGTTATATAAAGGATATCTCAAAGTTGTGCAGTTAGTTATGTTGATATATGACTATGTACAGTAATATTATGTCTAAAACGTAGCCGAGTATACAATACTGTTCCTTCACTGTATGGTAAATCTAATCAAACAATAAAAATGGAATCATTAATGAGTTCTCAGTATCCATTTAGTCGTAAAGCGGTAAACAATCAATATATTGGTCCTGTTTTCAACGTTTTCGCCTTATACCTAATTCCAAAGATATGCCTTCAGAATTCATTCCTTTCAGTATGTTTATCAAGTCTATTCATTAAGTAGTTGTAGTATAGCATTAAAAAATTTCGATCATTTAGGTTTCATCAGACTTAATTTTCAAATTGTCAACTATTTGATCTGTTTGTCTGTTCGTTTTTCCCTTTTCTCCTTCCGCCCCCCCCCTATCTCTTTCCTGTATACGGGGTTACAGACCTACTGCTGTAGATGCTTATATCTTTGCATATATCTGGCCTTTATTACTCTATGAATCAGAACATGGTGATGCCAGCTGGTGGGATATGGACTATAACAAATCATCATCTAGGCATGTACAATCAGGTCTACATCAGCTGATCACACACTTATTACAATGTCCCAATATTATTCGACATTTTAAGCATATTGTGTCCAAGTACTTCCCTAAACAAGTGAAGTATTTTAAAAAAGGTATGTTCAAGTTTAGTTTTTTTTTTCGACGAAAATCTTATTTAAATCAAGCAATAACAGCTAGACAGTTGGAGTTAGGATTATCGCCTATATGATAACTGATATGTGTAGAAAATCCAGTCCTGTATATGAAGTTGGTCGCTTGTCGCTTGAATAGCTTGGTTGTATGTAAACTCTCCTGAGTTCATTCAGTTGGCATTAGGGAGATTCATGTTGGTAATCACGAAGTTCACACCAGCTTAACTGTGGTCAGCTGATGAGTATCAACAAGTAAAAAAACCTGGGACAAATGGAGCTTCCCACTGACCGTTTCCAATAATCTCACCAGAAAATTATTTTTCGTACGTTTTTACCTGAAGATACTGTTGTGTTGTATATACTGTGTATATTGTGTGGAGCATTTAAGAGATTTAAGCATGCAAATGAACTCATCAGACACGATTGATTGTATCCTTTCTCTCTTGACCTAGAAAGTTTTCGATACTTTGGATTGATTTTTGAATAATGCAAGAACAAAGGCGGAGAATATCGTGAGCACATTTTACTTCATGGCCTCTCATCAGCTGCAAACAGCCTACAATTCAAATAGAGTATTACTGACAGACAAGGTTGCCTACTGTCACTGATGATCTTCCTGATTGTGGTCGACTTGAATGGACTGGATCATGCAACAGACATCTGTGAGGGCGAGAAGATGGGTATACGCTGTCTCAAACGATGAAAAGACTCCAGAAGAAGATTTCGATTTCACTGATGATGATGATTTATGTCTAATGTGTTGTCGCACAAACTCGAGGATGTAAAGACGAAAAGCAACAAGTTGACAGAAGAGGAGAGGTGAGGCAGCGAAGGAAGACACGACTTCCCCCAGGTGAACGTAGAAGAGACGAAGGTGATGAAGATAGCCAAGCAACAGCAACAACAAGCACCAATCACCATGAACGGGAGAAATCTAAAGGTAGTTGTCTTTTTCACCTACCTAGGTAGGCAGCATCGTTTCAACTACAGGTGGCGGCGGCACAGATGAGGACGTCAAAGCCGGGATTGGAAAGACAGCAAGACACGCCTTCCTGCATTAATCTGAAATAATCAGTGTGGAGATCTACTGCTCTGCACTGCACTACACTATACTATACTATACTACACTACACTCAATATAAAGCGTGAACAACAACCGGATTTTCAACACCAATGTCAGTCAAGTAAGTCAGTGCTTCTATGTGATGGTTGAGAGACTTGCCGGCGCGTTACGGAAATCATTCCCAACAAAGTGCAGACATACACCAACCACATCAACAGCTGCCGACCACGCTCACTCGATACTGACACTGAAGATGAGATGGTCAGAATAATAAGAATAAGCAACAAGGAACTCACTGTGGCCAGCTGGTATTTGACCAAGCAATAATCTATGGCCCAACAAATATGCATTAGAATAAAGTGGATATGGATTGTGTTGGACGCATGCTAAGAAGACCATTTAGGGATATCACGTGTCAGGCAGGCCAGGTTGTCGAGTGGAACGCAAATGGGAAAGGATGAGTTGGGTGTCCCAGCTGAGGGTGACATGGGAGAGGTGGTGTGAGGAAGAAATGAAAGGTTATGGGGGGGGGAGTGGTGGAGCCAGGTTGAAAAGATTGCAGGGAACAGATTGGAATGGAGATGTGCTACTGAAGCCCTACTATTGCACTAGGAACCCAAGGGACAAATACTAGTAATTACTGGTATTGATAATAATGATATAACACACTTTCGAGATGTAAAAATAAATGAATATTTAAAATCCAAAACTGGTGGTAAAAACTATAAACAAAGCTAAACAAAGAGGTTCTCTACTACTCTTCTTTATATCACATTTCAATAATCCAGTGTTCATTTGATACCCATGTTGTCCATGATAAATTCACCTTGTCACAAATTGGCTGGTTGGTTAGCAAAGAAATTGGTAGCCATCAGAAATGCTCTCGCAAATCACAATTTGAGGGGATACATTCCAATTCTTTAAAAAAAAAAAAGAAAACTTGATAGATTGAATATCTCAGACAAATTCATGGTATCATTTGTTTTCTCGTCATTATTGATTGAACATACCATTAGAGAAGGCCTTTGACAGCGTCGACCGAGAAGTAATTTGGAAACTGCTTCAATACTACGGAGTACCGCAAACCTTTATCCGCCTCATTCAACAACTATATGAAGATGCCACATGCCAAGTAATTCACAATGGGAAGCTCAGTAATGCCTTTGAAGTGAAGACAGACAGGAGTGAAACAAGGCTGTCTACTATCCCCCATGATATTGCTGATAGTGGTCGACTGGATCATGCAACAGACAACTGTGAGGAGCGAGAAGAGAGGGATACTCTGTTTGAGCGGGGAAAAGAACCTATGAGACTTGGATTTCGCGAATGATGACTTGTGTGTGATGTCACACGAACTTGAAGATCTTAGGCAAAAACTAACAAGTTGATAGAAGAGGCAGCAAAGACGGGACTTGAAGTGAATATAGAGAAGACAGAGGTGATGAAGATACCGCACCACCACCATCAACAACAACAACAAACTCCAGTCACCATCAACGGGAGAAACTTCCTTCACTTATCTAGGAAGCACTGTTCCAACTACAGGCGGGACAGACGAGGACGTCAAAGTCAGAATCGGAAAAGCAAGACAGGCGTTCATTAGCCTGAAACCAGTGTGGAGATCTACCGCACTGCACTCAGCATAAAGCGTGAACAAGATACGGATTTTCAACACCAACGTCAAGTCAGTGCTCCTGTATGGTTGAGAGACTTGGCGCGTCACGAAAGGCATTTCCAATAAACTACAGACATTCATCAACAACTGCTTACGCTGGCTCGCTACTGAAGATCAGATGGCCAGAATAATAAGAATAAGCAACAAGGAGCTGTGGGAACGAACCAACCAAGAACCTATCACGCAACAAATATGCAGGAAGAAGTGGAGATGGATTGGGCATGCAGTGAGAAGGCCGACTGAGGACATCACGCGTCAGGCCAGTTGCTCGAGTGGAATCCCCATGGGAAGCGACGAGTTGGACGTTCCAGCTGAGGGTGACATGGAGGAGGTCGTGCGAGGAGGAAATGAGAGCTTCTGGGCTGTCGTGGAATCAGGTTCAAAAGATTTCAGAGAACAGAGTGGAATGGAGATGTACTACTGAAGCCCTATGTTCCACTAGGAACCCAAGGGACTAATAATAATAATAATACCATTGGATGAAACGATAGACATAATCTGTCAACGGTCTTATCTACTACCGATTATCGAGAATAGAGGTCAAAAGAATTTCTACTCCTCTGTACAAAAGGTTTTCATTTCTAATTTTTATAATCAAGTATACTGACAAACTGATGAAGTTGCCAATGTGTTCACCACTGGGACCTATCCTACTTGATATATTCATGGCTCATGTCAAACGAACATGTCTGAAGTCTACGATCAAGGAAACGACATGTATGTCGATGATACTTTCATTGTTTATGAAAATATGAATCAGGCGTCAAAGTTGTTCGACAGCTTCAATCAAACTCATCCTAATATGAATTTTACAATGGAATGTGAAAATGATCGAAGTAAAAGATATATGGATTGGTCAGTCAGTATCTTGACCACAATAGTTTCTATCCTATCAGCTATAAGCCTATGGTTTAGTCGAAATGCTCTTCAGTAGAATAGAAATTCTATGTTGAAAAGATAAACGAGAAGAAGAATTCAATATCATTGAATAAGATCTTATAGAGAATGGGTTCATGAAGCATAGAAAAGAATTGATTAAGAGATCAAAACATCCATCTTTTGTCTAGTATTCAAAACTGATAAGATATCTGAAAGAATATACAGACGAATAAAACCTTCTAGACTGATCTGAGTTTACCATATAGTAGACAAATACCACCCCCATCTCACATCACCTCGAACTGTGTATATCAACTCTCCCCCTCCTTCGCCCCGCTTTCCATCGCTATCCACAGTTGCAGAGACTATTTCATCTTATCAGATGATGTGTGTATATATTGGTATTGATTTCCACCAAGATTTCTATGTTACCTTGATTACCGTTAATCTGGGATTTTATATCAACTATAGTCTGTTTCCATACCACCTGCAGCCGCTGAACTACAGGTGAATATAAATCCTCCAACAAAAATGGAGGTCATGACCGCCATAAAGCTACTGAAATGCGGGAAAGCAGCAGGACCAGATGGGATCCCACCAGAAGCACTGAAAACAGACGCGGAGACATCAGCCGACATGCTCACACCACTATTGCAGAAGGTGTGGAAGGAAGTGAAGGTACCTGGTGATTGGAAGAAGGGTTACCTTGTCAAACTGCCGAAGAAGGGAGACCTCAGTGTTTGCAAGAACTGGTGAGGAATCATGCTCCTGTCCAACCTAAGCAGGCAAAATATTAAGCCGCATCATCCTGGAGAGGCTAAAGGATGCACTGGATTCAAAATGACGACCGGAACAAACAGGCTGGATTCAGGAAGTACAAATCATGTGCGGACCAAATTGCAACGCTACGCATCATCATAGAACAGAGCATAGAATGGCAGTTAGCTCTCTACCTCAATTTTATCGACTTTGAGAAGGCCTTTGACAGCGTCGACCGAGAAGTAATTTGGCAGTTGATTCAACACTACGGAATACCACAAACCTTTATCAGCCTCATTCAACAACTCATATGAAGATGCTATATTCCAACTAATTCACAATAGGAAGCTCAGTGATGCTTTTGAAGTGAAGACAGGAGTGAAACAAGGTTGTCTACAATCCCCCATGATATTGCTGATAGTGGTCGACTGGATCATGCAACAAACAGTGGTGAGCGAGAAGAGGGGGATACGCTGGCTGGATGGCGGAAAAGAACCTGGAAGATCTGGATTTCGCGAATGATGACTTATGCTTGATGTCACACAAACTTGAAGATCTACAGGTGAAAACTAACAAGTTGACAGAAGAGGTGAGGCTAGGCAGGGAAGACGGGACTTCAGGTGAATATAGAGAAGACAGAGGTGATGAAGATACCGCACCAACAACTCCGACAACAACAACAACAAACTCCAGTCACCGTGAACGAGAGAAACTTAAAGGAAGTAACCTCCTTCACCTATCTAGGGAGCACTGTTTCAACTACAGGCGTGACAGACGAGGACGTCAAAACTAGTCAGAATCGGAAAAGCAAGACAGGCGTTCATTAGCCTGAAACCAGTGTGGAGATCTACCGCACTGCACTCAGCATAAAGCGTGAACAAGATCCGGATTTTCAACACCAACGTGAAGTCAGTGCTTCTGTATGGTTGAGAGACTTGGCGCGTTACGGAAGGCATTTCCAACAAACTACAGACATTGATCAACAACTGCCTACACTCGTTACTGAAGATCAGATGGCCAGAATACTGAGAATAAGCAACAAGGAGCTCCGGGAACGAACCAGCCAAGAATCTATTACCCAACAAATATGCAGTGGAAGGAAGTGGAGATGGATTGGGCATACACTGAGAAGGCCGACTGGGGACATCACGCGTCAGGCCAGTTGCTCGAGTGGAATCCCCATGGGAAACGACGAGTTGGACGTCCCAGCTGAGGGTGACATGGAGGAGATGGTGCGAGGAAGAAATTAGAGCTTCTGGGTTGTCGTGGAACCAGGTTGAAAAGATCTCAGAGAACAGAGTGGAATGGAGACGTGCTACTGAAGCCCGATGTTCGACTAGGAACTCAAGGGACAAATAATAATGATATAATTCCTTTTGATTACTAATTTGGATATGTTTGAAATGATCAATTTTATGAATTTTATCCTGGTCTAATGTAATGGGGTGATTAGTTTCTACTACTTCATACACAGAAAAATTCTTATTGTATTTTTCTATTGTTCCTTTTTTTTCAGAAAAATTAGTTTTAGATAAATCGACTGTTTCACATCCAATACGTGATTGTCTTCTTTGGGGTACAGGAGTAGCTGGTCTGTTTATAATCTATGCATATTATTCAAATAACCTAAGAATTCCACGTAGATTCTGTGGATAAGGAGGTGATCAAGTTGACTGGGAAATCTCGATACACCTCCAATTTGAATATGCAGAGAGAGAGAGAGAGGGACAGTTGGGGGGGGGATATATTTCGGGGTGTTTTTTCTTGCTGCCTCCCATCAATCATCCATGCATGATCTTACCAGTGAGAGAGAAAGAGTATTATATGTATATAGGATATATTAGTGTACTTTTGTGTAAATATAGATACATGTAGACTAAAGTAATGTTTTTACTAATTGATCGAACAATGAAAAAAACAACTGACAGATGAGAATTGACTGTTTTATTCGTTGGAATATGGCAGCTTCACCTGGTTGTTGTTGTGAAGCTCTTCCTGGAAATGACACTTGAAATAAAGGTCTACTTCAACCATTGTGCTTGTAAGATGTCAAATTGATGAACCAATCAGAATATCGTAACAACATGCTATGCTTTTTTGAAAGAATTAGTCGCCTTTTATAAATCTGGATAGTGTAATAAGATGTGTGATGTGAGTGTGTAATACATTTCGAATAGTCTAGTGATCTCATCGTTAAAGTTTCCTATTTACAAGAGATATGTTGATGATATCATAGTGATTTGTGAGAGGCATGAGGATATGGTTTATCTACGAAATAGACTTAACGCCGTACAAACACACATCAGCCTGACATGTGAGAAACAGAATAGTAATTAACTGCCATTCCTGGATATACTTCTGAGTCGATGAGAAGATGGTTCACTAAGACGGTCAGTTTACAGACTGCCTACATGGACAGGACAATACCTGAATTTTCACAGTTTTTGTCCAATCCAACACAAGCGAGGTCTCATAATAATGGCTGTTTAATAGGATCTATCATATCAGAATGCCAGATACCATGGGTGAAGATATCAAATTCCTGACCTAAAAACACTCATAGAAAATGGATATCTGTTGGAGTCTATAAACCGTTGTAGAGGTCGGGTAGCACCAAAGCCAACTCCATACATGGTTGAGAAGAAAGGCATCCATATCACTCTAGCATACACGGTGTTATTACTACTATTTTTCCCTTAGGTTCTTAACATAACACAGGGCTTCAGTAGTAGCACGTCTCCAGTGCACTCTGTTCTCTGCAAACTTTTCAACCTGGCTCCACGACAGTGCACACCCAACTCGTCATTTTCCATCTGGGTTCCACTCGCATGCCTGGACTGCCGCTTGATGTCCCCAATCGGTCTTCTCAGTGCATGCCTAATCCATCTCCATTCTGCATATTTCTTGGGTGATAGATTCTCCGTTGGTTCGTCACCAGCCAGCCAGAGTTCCTTGTTGCTTATTCTTTCTGGCCATCTGATCTGATCTTCAGTATCGAGCCAGCGTAGGCAGTTGTTGATCAATGTCTGCAGTTCGTTGGAAAGCCCTTTCGTAACGCGCCAACTCTCTCAACTATCACATACAAGCACTGACTTGACTGACATTAGTGTTGAAAATCCGGATGTTGTTCACGCTTTATGCTTAGTGCAGTGCAGTAGATCTCCACACTGGTTTCAGGTTAGTCAACGCCTGTCTTGCTTTTCCGATCCTGGCTGGCTTTGACGTTGTCATCTGTGCCGCCACCTGTAGTTGAGACAGTGCTGCCTAGATAGGGAAGGAGGCTACTTCCTTTAAGTTTCTCCCGTTGATGGTGATTGCAGCTTGTTGTTGTTGTTGGTGGTGGTGGCTTTGGTTGGGTATCTTCATCACCTCTGTCTTCTCTACGTTCACTTGAAGTAGCATACACATATTTCACCAAAAACCTAAACACTGCATCAATGATTACACCACATCCTATTGTGTTTACCAGTTGACATACGCGTGTGGTCACATATGCAGGGAGTAGTTGAGCCATGCAGTTGAGGGTGGGAGGACATGAACCTAAATGGCTTCAAAAACAAATGGAGTGTGAAACCTTGATAAACGCTGCTGGGAGACAATCCTCTTTCTCTATAGCTAAACCTATTCTATGTAGAATCATAGAACGATGTAGAAATACTGAGGGATGCATACTGAGATTGGCGGAAGCCATAGCCGTAAACAAATTGAAACCAACTTTGTGTGTATACAGAAATAATTTGTGCTTACACTACACCTACCTCTTGGTAAAATTTGTTTACTTACCAAGATTAGGATCAACCAGGACACTCTTCCTGTTTGTTCTGATCTTTCTTAATTCTAATCCTCTGCTTATCTTAACTGTTGTATATGTCCTCCCACATTTTGCTTTAATGTAAATTGACTTGACAAGTGAATGTGTGTGTGGTCAGATTGTTGGAAATGTATTACGCAAATATACATCACACATTGTGTTCAGATAGACTTTTAATTGCACTGTCAAAGTGCTAATTTTCTGTTGAAAATATTTCAGAAAAGAGAAAAACAATAAGTTTCATGAAGGTCTGTTATTGTTGAGAAAAGTATTTACTTCCCTCGAGCTTCTCAGTGCATTTGTTTGCAATTTTAGCGGTTGATAAAGCAACATCTAATGTCGTTTGCCTTTATTATTATTATTAGTCCCTTGGGTTCCTAGTGGAACATAGGGCTTCAGTAGCACGCCTCCAGTGAACTCTGTTCTCTGAGATCTTTTGAACCTGGTTCCACGACAACCCAGAAGCTCTAATTTCCTCCTCGCACGACCTCCTCCATGTCACCCTCAGCTGGAACGTCCAACTCGTCGTTTCCCATGGGGATTCCACTCGAGCAACTGGCCTGACGCGTGATGTCCCCAGTCGGCCTTCTCAGTGTATGTCCAATCCATCTCCACTTCCTCCTGCATATTTGTTGAGAGATAGGTTGTTGGTTGGTTCGTTCCCAGAGTTCCTTGTTGCTTATTCTTATTATTCTGGCCATCTGATCTTCAGTAGCGAGCCAGCGTAAGCAGTTGTTGATGAATGTCTGTAGTTTATTGGAAATGCCTTTCGTGACGCGCCAAGTCTCTGAGCCATACAAGAGCACTGACTTGACGTTGGTGTTGAAAATCCGTATCTTGTTCCGCATGCTGAGTGCAGAAGATCTCCACACTGGTTTCAGGCTAATGAACGCCTGTCTTGCTTTTCCGATTCTGACTAGTTTTGACGTCCTCGTCCGTCCCGCCTGTAGTTGAAACAGTGCTTCCTAGATAAGTGAAGGAGGTTACTTCAAGTTTCTCCCGTTGACGGTGATTGGAGTTTGTTGTTGTTGTTGATGGTGGTGGTGCGGTATCTTCATCACTTCTGTCTTCTCTATATTCACCTGAAGTCCCGTCTTAGCTGCCTCTTCTGTCAACTTGTTAGTTTTTACCTGCAGATCTTCAAGTTTCGTTTGCCTTTAGGGATGATAATTAGTTAACAGGGGAGGGGGCCTTCAACATCTTATTGTCAGTTCCTGTCTAGTAAACAATGAAATTCCCATTTTTTTCAGGTTTTCTTGTAAAACTATCATGGATAAAGTTGTCACTGTCTGAGATCTTCGAAACGATAAGAATCAGTGATGGTTTAGGACTGTTGATGAAATGGCTGGGAATCTCAACGTTGAATATTTGAACTAACATTCATTTTCGAATTCCTTCTCTCATCCATAAAAGTTTGGCTATATTGATATCAATCTTTTTCCATACACTTGTTGTCCTTTGTAGACTACTACTGTAAAGTATGGTAACGTGAGCCGATGCACATGTTAACGAGGTTCCACGTTAATTTTATCTGTCTGTCATCTTGTGGGAAGTTGCTTGATTTCAAATGACTTCTCATCGCGAACTGACATAAGTCAGACAACCATTGGAAATCTGGACAGCCACTTTGTCTTAGTATGGAAACCAGTAATGCATACCCATGACGGACAGTTAGGTCTCTCTTATAGCACTTTACCACTCTGCCACTAAGTTGGAATTCGAAGGTTCACATTTCCAAACTATAATGTGACTAACTGGATAATAAGTACGTAAAACGACAATAACACAATAAGATGCTCAAACAGGATATGAATGGCAACTTTTCTCCCTCAAACCTGATTCTTCACTGAGGCACAACAATCAGAAGACTAAGATCAGTCACTGACTTTAAGGAAGACAACTTTTCTTTTTGATAAAAAGCATATCGTTTTCCCTCAGGAAATGAAGCCACTATGTCACAAGTTAAATGTTTATTCTGATTGGTTGGCTCAAGGACGAGATTGTCCAAATAGGTTTTTCCGCCTACATAGTAACTTGAAACCAAGTTTGGGATCTGGAACTCTCACACTAGAGGTTGATGACCTTGAGTTACGATTTCAAGTGGGTTTGCTTGGTATCACCAACCTCTATCGATTTGTGATATAGTATGACGGTTGTTGAATGCCATCAGTGAATTTATCTGTACACACCTGGCTCAGTTGACCATGTAATGTCTCACCAGAACTTTGGAAAGTTCATCTCAGAGTTCTGTAGAGCTTTACAAAAGTTATTAAAACTGTGTCATTTGCAGCTTGTCTTTATGTTCTTTTTAGAAGGGCAGAGAAAGTTCAGTGGATGGAATATATTGAAATGATATTTTGCAGATGTCTCCTCCCTCCCCTGAATTCACTGAGTGATAAAAATGAATTCAATTTGCTAGTATTAAAATTTCTCCATGAGAAAATCCACTTCCAGCAGGACTAGTTAATGAAAACAATGTATTTCCTCCGTAGGATCTAATTGGTAAACAGACTTAACATCATGTATAACCTATGGTAACAGGTACCTTGTGTCATTAAAGAAGATTTATAGGAGTTGAAATGCCCTCAGCAATCACGAGCAGGATTATTGTGTTTCTTATGATGTAATGTGAACTTGTCCCTCTTAGATCGCAGATTAGGTAAACTAAACTTCAAGCAATGAATCCTTGGCTCGAACTCTGCCCCACTTACTTTGGCTAGGTCAGTCGTGTGACATCACAAGCTCCCAACACAAGTGTAGTTCATGAACTAGTACACAGACGTGTGTCAAATTGAGTTAGATTATATTTATTACACAAAACTTCCATTCTGGCTAGCCTATTATT